TATCGATCCCGATTCCTTCTATGCTGAAATAGTTTTTAAAAATTTTCGTCACGAAATAATCAATAGAAATTCATGGGTTTGCAGGAATCCCTGAGAAAGAAGAAATTTCAAATCAATAATTGGAAATAACTCCAAAGTATTGGTTTTGAATGCGCTTTCTTCATCATTTTCTCAGCATTTCATCTCTTCATTAAAAAAAATTCACAGATATTTTTCAGATCAGGCTCAGATAAAAGCTCATGTACGCAAAATGGAAAGGATCAAAATTCTGGAATCCCAGTTGATTTCCCGAGGTAAAAATTACGTTAATCATTGATTTGGCAATTAAAAAAAACTAAAGGGAATTGAATCACGAAACGATCCGCTGACGCAATGCTGTGAAAAAAATCCCAAGTTACTTTTCTATTTCATTAGAAATATTGTGAGTGCTTTACTGAAATGGGTGTCAGATTTTTTTTAGCTCTTGAGACTCTAACATGGGATAGAATTTCAAATTAAACTCCGGATAAAATTCGTAAAACACGGGATTAAATCCGGGAAAAATGCGGTTCAGTTCATCCAACTCACTTCCAATAAGAATATGAAATTAAATTTACTGCGGGATGCCTTCAAGAAAAGAAATTTTGAAAGCTTTTCCAATTCTGTGAGAAAATTGAAAGGTTCGAAAATCGCACTTCATTTTCATTCTATAATTAATCAGTCATAATCACAGACAAAAAGAAATCACTTATTTTCTAAACGTTTTTTCGTCCTACAAAAAGGATGCAAACGCCATGATTCAAATGCCAGCACGGGAGGAAGAGAAAATTGAAATATTTTTCAATCTTCCATATTTGAAAAAGTTTTTGACCGATGATAAAAAAAGGCCAGCACGCAATTTTCCGAGGAACCTTTCCTGTCCCTTTGCATTATTCTGCTTAGTGTTGCATCGAAGATTCAGTACCAGGGGCCACGAACCAGAAAATTTGAATTGCATGCATTGTCAAGATAACGGCTGCTACTTACTCACAGCAGGGGAAAACTGAAATGGAACGAACTCGAATTATTGACTGACAAATAAATGTTCTGAGGTGCATTTCGAGCTAACACCGAGAACCACACCCATTTAATCTTTCGAAAATGATTTAAACGAGTTTATTTTATTCGGAAAATAAAATCTCACAAAGAAACGGATTCTGAATTTCAACAGAATTCTCAGCTTGGTTCATTAAACTGAGATATTAAAGACGAGGAGGAAAATTGTCTTTGTTTTATTAGGAACCAATTTTAATTAAGTTTACTGTACCTTAAAACATTTAAATTATTCCCTAATCGCTCGAAATATTTATTAAAGTAGTTTTCACGACTCGATTCTGGAATTCGGTCAACGACGCTTTCATACGAGTATACTGTATTCACAAGAAAATCGAGGTTTGACGTTGAAATCCACTTCAATGAGCAAATAACTCGGTTGAAGTACGCCATACATTCAGATAATTGCCTATCATTTTCAAAACCAATCCTTCGGAGTTATTTCCATAAATTGATTTAAAGTTCTTTCATCTCAGGAATTCCTGCAAACCCATGATTTCTATTCATTATTTCGTGACGAAAATTTGCAAAAACTGTTTCAGCATAGAAGGAATCAGGATCGATGGAGTCAATTTCAGTTCTCATAATTAATTTTCTGTCACAATAAAGACAAATTACTGCACTGCTTTCACCGTGTGGCTTCCGATTTTAAAGCGAGGAATACTGTATTTTCTAATGACGGAACGAAACAGAAGCGAAACATTAATGTCTCTGAGTAATGTTTTTGGCACTCAGTATTTTATTAGTGAAAAATTGATTCTAGAACTATTTTCGCGAAAACTGAAACATTTGATTTCTTCTGCTTTCAAGATTTCATTACATTGAGTTGACAGTCTTACTGGCATTTAGAAAACGCTTTTCATGCCTCGGAATATATTTTCCGACTCTAGACTCCGAAAAATATTTCCGGCGTATTAAAAAATTTATTTTCGAAGCATTGGAACGAAAAAAATGTTCGCTTCAATGCTTCCGAAAATATATTTGTTTTAATACTCCAAAAATATTTTGGTTATCACACGATTTCCCCTTTTTAAATACTGAAATCGACACTTTAATCAGCAAATCCTTCGAATTAAATATACGCCTTAAATGCAAATAATCATGAAATGGTTTTTGAAGATTTTCATTTCTAACGTCTTCAATACTTGCCTAGATTTAAGTCAAAACTTTCACTGGACACTTAAAATTAGCATCTCACGTATGGCTTGTCAAGTATTTCAAAATTTTTCGCTCCACATCAGCAAACTAAGATAAAAATCGGCTTTGAATGCTGAAATAAACGATAATTAAATCTCGTTTTTGAACGATATTGAAGTATCGAAAGTCACTGGATCATTTTCCGACACAAACAAAAAATCCGCTCAAGAATTCGTATTACGTATAAATATTTTTTTACCGGAACTCTTGCAACAATTTTAGAAAGTTTTTTTCTTTAAAATTTCGCTTTTTTCCATACGAACATAGCTGATCAGAAATTGCAGGTTTGATTTAAGATGGCTTGAATTATAAATTAATAAATTACAGTGAGACCCTCAAATGCTGATACCTCGACCTGCGGACAATTCTACATAGGGACACTTATTTTCCCAGAAAAAAAATTAATAAAAAAGGCCTGACACGAGGACACTGACTCAACATAGGGACATTTTGTGATGAAATGCAAATACATTTCAGGCCAAATTACAAGAAACAGATATTTCCAACCCTAAAATATATGTAATTAAAGTTCTTGGGAATTTCTCTCCCAAATTTACCATCCATTTAGCTAAGTTAAAAAAAAATTATCTCCAGGGTAGAGGGACTTCCTTCTCTCTTTTTCACTTGAATGTTATTTTTGTAGATGCCAGCATTACAATGCACAGTGAAGAGAGACAATATTCAATGCTCCAAATGTTCTTATTGAGTTGTAAATTCAAGTGGCAAACAATTTTTTTTATGGAATTTTGAACAATATTTCTTCCACGAAACGTCAATTAAAAATTATATAATTTAAGTCTATGGGAAAACAAGACTCGAGTTAGGGACAATTCAACTTAGGGACACTCTTGATGCACCAATTATGTCCACATCTTGGGGTCTCACTGTACGTTAAACTGAGAAGCCCTCGTTAAGTAAAATAATGAAACCAACCGCTTTTGAAATATTTCCCAGGCGTTTCTTCGCGGGGAAAACAAGTGCTCAGATTGCAGCACAATAACCTGATGAACTCATCATCAAGTTACACATACAGTATTTCGAAAAAAAAGAAACCCTCTGACAGCTGTTCCCGGTACCCGGCTCAGAAAAAGGCGTTGTCGAGAAAATTAAAAATAAATAAAAACGTTGAACACCGAACCCGCAATTGCTTCGTCTTCATTAGGAACCCGTGCTGTACCCGGAAAAGGTCAAACTGTTACTTTCGCAACAGAGGAAAATGTTTTCATTTCACGCACCCGGGGTTTCCATCTGGTCGACAGGACTCAGAGGCAACAGCCAGAAGGTCAGAATAATAGCCCACACACACACACACACAAACGCAGAAAAAAGCATTAACGAAACATACTCATGCAAATGAGAATAATCATGACGACTGCTCCTTTTTTTTTCAGTCGGTAAGAAACCCAACAAAGGACAGCGAGGGCATTATTAGTTCGGGGAAAGTTATTGGATCATTTTCCGACCCAAATGAAAAACTCGCTGGAAAATAAAGTATTGTACATATTTTAAACCCATAGCGTGATTTAAGAAAGGCATACATTATAAAACTATTACACTACTGAAGCTGAGAGGTTTTCTTATCGCTTTTGCTGAAATTAATGCTGACGCTCAGCAAGGCAACGACTTACTTGTGCTTTTTATTCCCTCTTCCTTAGTTTTAAAAATCTTCGACGTAAATTGCCCGTAACCTTGGCCAAATTTTAATTTCGGATTCATTCATCATTCGAGATTCGGTCATTAGCGAGGGCAATAATAGTTGTGGGAAAATCGCTGGATCATTTTTCGAACAAACGAAATACCAGCTCAAGAATACGGTGTTGAACATATTTTGAACTGGAAATCATGCAAAATTTTAAAGATTTTTTGCTTTACCAAGTCCACGTTTTCCCATATGTTCATAGTTATAAAGACTTACTCAAAAACTATTGAAGCTGAGAGGCTTTTTTTGTTTTTGCTCAATCGAACGCTTAACTCACCGCATTTCGAAAACTACTCAAGTTTTCATTCCCACATTAGTTTTAGGAATTTTCTGCGAAAATTCCTAAAACCCGAAACTTTGCCACTATCTAAATTCAGCACTCATTCATCCAAGAACAGTTTTAGGCGACTAAAAAAGTTCATCTTTCCAAATACAGTACAGTTCACTCACATCCTTCTTCACTGAATTTCTCACATAAGGCTCTTATCTTCGATTGAAAAATTACATAGCGAAAATAACACGGCGAGAATAATATAAAACACAGAAATGATGGGCTTGGTGCAAAATTATTGGCATTTTGGACGAAATTGAGCTCGGTTATTTGAAAATTTTAGCATCAAATGCCAGTTCACAGCCCCCGAAATGTCAGTCAGCTGCATATTTTTTTTTTCTTTCTCGAAGACCATCAAGGACATGCGTGAAAACCCATTTAGACAAAAAATTTGATATCAGGCTAAAATTTCTGCAGAGTACGAAGTTAATCTCTTCAGGTGATTTTTTTTTTTCAGCAGTAGAGAATGAAGCAGTCGACGATGAAATCCTCTCGTGTGCATAAAATATCACTTTGTATCGCAGAATGAATAAATAAAAATTGGCAATTTGAATCCGGGATCGGAAAATCACACTTGCAAAATAATAAAAAATAAAAAACAACCAATAACTCTTTCAGTCGTAATTTTACACAACAAACACGCATCGTTAAATATTCTCTAAATTGCAGACGCGAATTAAGTTGGAAATTTTTTGAACTCACCAGCAATTTCAGGGTACTGAAAACGGGTCTTCCGGTTGTGTGTTGTTATTTTATTTTGAATAACACAACTTGCGTCTTTCTTTCTGCCTTCGTCTCGTCACCGAGAATGACGGGAAAGGCGTGACACCGACACCGACAATGACGTGGAACAAATTCCGCTGAGACTCTGATGGCAACGACAGACCGACATTTCCCGCACACTTCACTTGCTAGTGAAATCGCCGGATGAACCGAGACACAAGACACAACAGAAACATTGTCTGCGCGACTGCGTTTGGGGAAAGAAGGCAGCACCAAAAAAAAAACTGGGGTATAGATGTAGACGGAATTCCTGCTGAGATCACACAAAGAAACTATTTTTTCACAATTGAAATCAGCGTTAAATACAGCAACCAAGACAAAAATACAGCTGTGCTTCAGTTAACAGCCTTTTTTTTTGGAGAACAGACTTCAGATCAGACCAAATATTATTTAGATCACTATCATCATCAAACAAAGGCTTGATTTTTCACACTTCACATGGGAAAAATTCCTAGCAAATAAATACAGCAGTGACTCAGTTAACAGCCTGCTTGGAAAACAGACCTCAGTGCAGACATGATCACTTCAATCACCAAATGAGGACAGAGGTGCTGAAATTCGAAATTGAATAGGAAAAGTATTTCCAGCAAGTAAATACAACAGTGCCTCAGTTAACAGCCTTCTTGGAAAACAGACCTCAGTGCAGACCTGATCACTACTATCACCAAATGAAGACAGAGGTGCTGAAATTCGAAATTAAATAGGAAAAGTATTTACAGCAAGTAAATGCAACAGTGCCTCAGTTAACAGCCTTTTTGAATACCACACATCAGATCAAATCACAAGATTACTTAGATCACTGCTACTGTATCACCTTATCAGTACATCATCAAAGACACAGTGTGTTGATACTTGAATTCACATGGACACACGTTTCCAGCAAGTAAATACAGCAGTGCCTCAGTTAACAGCCTTTTTGAAGACTAAACATCACATGAAATCATAAGATTCCTTAAATCACTGCAATCCATCTACCAGTATTGAATCATGAAAAACAGGGTGGTTGATATTTGAAATGATCCTGAAATATCTCCTAGCAAAAAAATACAGCAGTGCCTCAGTTAACAGCTTCTTTTGTTACCATAATTTAATTCAGACCAGATGAAGTTGAGATCATGCAAAGAAAAGTTGTGTTACAATACTTACAATTCCAATCTGATCAAAATAGAGATTTCAAAAACTGGAAACATCAGTACCTCAGTTAACAGCCTTGACGAAGAGCAGTCTCAGATCAACCAGACTAATTTGAACACCATTAATATTATATGAATACTGCTTATATGCACAAACAATCAAATTTATCCGGTATGGAGCTTCAAACAAAAACAAAAAACAAGTTGTGTTTCAGTTAGCAGCCTTTTTAAAGAAGAGATTTTCCATTAGGCCAGGTTATATTGATCACTGCTGACATTATTCAAAGACAAAGTGTGTTGAAATTTCCATTTCAACACAGGGACTCCAGCAACTAAATGCAACAGTGCCTCAGTTAACAGCCTTTCAACAGACCAGATATTAGTCCACATGAAGGGGATCACTGCTCAGATTCTTCCAAGGCAAACGCTGGATTTTGAATTTTACAAGAAGATAGAGACTAAATCAAGTCTATAAAGTAATTAAATACACTTTCACACGTTTCTCAAACAGACGATTTCTTTTTTCAAAAAATAAACTTAGGTACACATGATACGCGGACAGGAGGGAAAACTTATAAGCTTGTCTACAAGAAAACAACACACAATCCGAGGAACAATGCGAGGTAAGAATACAGATGCTCAAGTCCAGACAGGACCATTGTTTTCTTCTGTATATCATTCTTACTTCTTTATTTTATTCTATTTTTTGGTGACTGAGCGACGGAATTTCAAAAGAGCATCCCGTCGGGATTTTTCAGGAAGAAGTTCAAATTCGACTCGGAAAAATTACCGGAACAATTCAGCAGGCATTTTCCGTTATCCATTTTTTTTTTGTGCAAAATGAGTCCAGCTCTCATATGGTCTTGAACCCAAGCATGTTTTCGAAAGAAAAAAAAGTCGAAAATCTGGATTTTCTGGAAGGATACAGAGGAAAAAATACCGTTGTTCACCAATGAAATCAATCCAAGTGACGGAGTTCTGATGTTTTTTTTTACATTTAGTTTGGCAATCAAAAATTGATTGCCGAATTCAACAGTGAACGACAGTAATAATAAAATATTCGACGATTCTTGGAGAGAGAAAAAAATTATGCGAATAACGATAATAAATCTTTGTTCTTAAATCAACGTTGATTTCCACACGTAACGGAGTTCACATGGAAAATATTTTCCTTCCTTGAAACCAAAATACAAATAAAGTCACTCAGAAATGTATGGGAAGCTAACTTGTGAGGAAATTCCTTGTCCATCTCTGAACCATCGAAAGACAGACAGAATATTTGAAAAAAAAATAGTTTCAATAAGACAGTCCCATGAACACAGCCTACTTCCTAGTCATCTCTCTTCCGTTTCTTTACGTTTCCCACAGCAGCAGAGTTTGTGTTTCCCGATTTAGCTTCCTTCCTGTTTCCCCTCCCCTCCTTTCCTCTGTATTCACTCATCTAATTTTTTATTTTTAGGTATTCCGAAGGAAAGAAGGAAGAGCCTTTGAAGAAGAAGTCATTGTAGCAATAGAAGTGTATAGAGGAAATACGAGGGTTGGTTCATAAGTTTATGTCTTTCTTCTGCTTCATCTTTGGCTGTTTCTAGTTTGAATGGAGAAGGAAATACTATTTGAACAAATGAGTGTTCCCCAATCTTTTTTGGATTACGGACCTGCAAATTCCTCAACATTTTTCTGCAGACTGGCAAAGTTTCACAAATTTTTTGCAGTCCCAAAAAAGCTTTGCTTGAAAGAGTTTATGGCAGATACTTTGAAAGTTTTTGCTTCTTAGTAAAAAAAAAACGAAAAAATTGAACACCAATGAAGCTGCTTTATATAGAGAAAATTCTTCCAAAAATTAGAAAGGTGGGCTTGAAGAAAGGTTTATCAGGATGAAACAGTTTTTTATCATTTCAACATGCAAAAAATTTGTCTGAAGTGTTAGTTGCTGAGAGAAAAGCCAACTTTTATTTTTTCATCAGGTAATTTCAACTCTGCGATAACCTCTGCAAAATTTTAGCAGACTTCATTGCTACTTTTGATATATTCATTAAATTGCAGAAAATTTCTGGCAGACAGGCAAAAATATTCTGCAGACCGGTTGTCTGCAGACCATGGGTTGAGGAACACAGTAGGATACACATAAAATCCCATTATGACAAATTTTGTTGGTGGAAAATATTTTCAGCTTAGAAAAAGTGCCTTATAAGACAGTGCTCAGAAATAATGTCCAAACATAGTTTTCTGGTTTAGTAGGAACACATTTTGAGTGATCTCACCAGAGTTTTTCATTAAAATTACAATAGATTTTCTAAATTTTGCTCCAAATTTTTTTCAAAGGGAATTAAAACATGGGCAATCCCTTCACCCCCATTGAATCAGTGCATGGAACTGATGCTGACTTTTTTGGAGGAGAAAATTTTTATTTTCTTCTTTGCTAAATTGACATTATGTTTAACCCTTGGGCAGCAGTGCCAGGATTTATCCTGCAAAATTTGTTTGCCACACAGAATTTAAAAAAAGAGGAAACAAGAATGATTAGAAGAACTAAAGTTGGGAAAAAAAATTCTTAAGTTTTTCATCATTCCTGTAGGAAAATTTTCATTTACAAAATGTACAATTGGAGGGCATTTTTCTGCATTCCTGCCATGGGATTAGCATTGAGGGATTTTAAAAACAATAGTTTAAGAACAAAATATCCTTGGCTGTCATTGTGTGACCTTGGGTCAAACCCGAACACACAAGCATACAAAAATATCCCAGCACAGCTGCCACAGGATGGAATTTGACAAGCCACCATCAAAGCAATAAGCATAATTTTTCTTGTAAAAACAACATTTTTGCAATTAAAAAAAAACTTTGAGATTGAAGGAATGTAATCCAATCCCTAAAAGTCACAATTTTTTCAGAGAATCACATCTAACTTTGAATAAAACTGCCAAACTTGAAAGCTTGCTAGAACATGATTTCACCAGAATTTTAAATTTCCCTGAACATAGTGAAAGTCTTTGCTCAACCATAGGAGTAAAAAAATAGAAAACATCAGGTTGAAGATAAATAAATAAATAAATAATTAAATAAATATTTATATATATATATATATATATATATTTAAATTATTCAACATTCGCTGTCATGCATGCATATGGCTCAACTTTGAAGGATTAAGACCTCATAAACCTGGGCAACAGAACAACGAACAACTTCATTTCAAAGTTTCACTGAAAGAAACTTTCCAAATGACCCTTTGAGTGTATGTACATATGCATAGTTAAAGAGAGAAGAAAACCGGACGAGTGAACTTTAACCGCATTTCTCAGCTGTTTCCTCGAAATAACTCCAGCATCGAGTTCCGGAAACGCTTTCCGCTTCACCCAATTTTCTCTCCAATGTATGTGAAATATATAATAATGCTCTTCACTTTAGTTTTATCAAGATTTCATACAAGGTTAAATTTTTAATGGAGATTCGACTTATTATCGCGTCAACCGTCTTATAGTTGGCGAGGGTAATTAAAACCCGGCAAGATATGTTCTTTTTAAAGTCGATAAAATTTTGAGTTTCAGGTTTCTGAATATTATTACACTGGCTCCTCGCCCAAAATGTCATTAAAATTAGTAAGAAACGTATCTGAAATTAAATGACCCAGATGATAAACTTGAACACACTCGATTTTGTGGGTCTTCCGGGTGATTGATGTTTGGGACATGCCAGGAATTCCATGAGCAAAACCTTCTCGATAAAAATAAATTCGAGATTTAAACAAAACATCTGGTTTTAAAATGATTGTAAATTTACAAATACAGAGCTGATTGAAACTTTGGCAAACTTGCGTTTAGTCTTCACAGCGTTTTTCGGAAAGAAATTCCTCAAAAATTGTTCATTCTATACGCTTCATCGGAAGTTTATTTCTGGGTTCTTTTAAAATTTTCATAAAATTTAAAAAATGTTTGGATCGAAAGGAAGAATAGATAGAGATGCTTTTTAAAGAAAAATATAATGTTTTCAAAAGATCTCGATAAGATTCAGAAGAAAAATAGTGTCCGCTGCTCGCAAAAAATGCTTTACGAACTTTTTTTTATAGAACAAAATACTGTACAAACGAAATTAACTCTCTCCAAAATTAAATTTTAACCCGAGCCAAAAAATGTGTGTT